ATATAATAGAAACACACAATAAATGAGCAGCATTTCATGCTTTCTTGTGAGCCAGCTCTTCTTGACCTCTCTTATTTCCTTGGCGACACAGAGCCCTAATACAGCACCTCCCTCTACCACTCTACCTGGGTTCCTCCCTTCTCACTCCAAGCCTTTTCTAGACTTCCTTAAGGGTGCTTCTCAAACATTACAATTAGATCAGGTTTCCCCTGCTACATACTCGTAGAGTACTTTTTTTTCTCGCCTCTAATCACATTTTCACTAAATATTTGAATTAATAGATTTTGGTACCCACAGGTGCTAAGGTAATGCTGATTTTGCTACCCACAGGTGTAAGGTAGCCTCTAACAGGAATGGCTTGGTGTCTAAAATCTACACTCTTCTCCCTAAGACTTAGCACAATGTCTGGCATGCAGGTGTTCAACAGACTGAAAAGAGTGAATGGGAGAAGGAAGGAAATGGGCCATATCTAAAGTAGCTTTTAGGATACCAGGCCTACTTAATAATTGTGGGATGGAGATATTTAAAGATTTAATTATAACACAAGGTGCCCTAGTTTGTCCAGAATGTATCCCAACATCCCATGTACATGGTCATAGATGTGTATCATTTCGTTAATGTTGGACTACTAATTTAATAGCCTCAATATTTTATCAAAAAATTATACATTCTTACTTCTTAAAAAAACTGTTTGGTTGCTATATTTTAATTCACAGTTCTGCCTTCCCCATCAATATTTTGCCAAGCTGTATTTTCTCCATGCTCTTTCAGTTTAAAGATTTGTTTTCACTGAGTAAGTTCTTATCGAACACTCACTATGTGTTACCTGAGCAGATTATTTTTATACACTTTCTATGACTGGACTGGCTAAAGAGAAAGGAGTTATTATTTATAATCTCCCAGAAGGAGAGCTTCTTTTATAATTCTTATGCTAAATGATTACTCAACAAGGATCAAGTTATATGACTGTGTATATAAGCACACCCTTTGCTCTCAGGCTTGTGGATTCCAAGGTTTATTCCAGCAGTCCCTCTGGACCGCTGTCTAGTTCTCAAGCCTCTGGACAGAAACTGGGAGTCATACTATTAGCTTCCTTATAATTGTTTTAATTTCTGTAGGTTTGGTGGTAATGCTTTCTCTTTCATTCCCCATTTTAATAACTGCATCCTTTTTTCCCTATTTTTCTTGGTCTGCTTAAAGGTTTTTCAATTTGTTGAGCTTTTCAAAGAATCAGCATTAATTTATTTGGTTTTCTCTCTATTCTTTTCCTTGTTATACTTTATCAATTTTTACTTGAATATTATTTTCTTACTTGTCTTTCCTTTGGATTTAGCTGCCTATCCATTTTCTAGTTTCTTAAAGTGTATCTTCCATTAGTGATTTGAGAACATTTTTCTCTTTAGATATAGATACTTAGCATCTAAATTCTTTTTAGTTGTTAATCTTTTCTGGACCCACCCTCAAAAACATACTCAGAAATAGTGTTTATCAGCTATATGAGTGTCTATAATTGAATTTACACAGCCAAGTAGGAACTCAAAATTAATGATCACACAAGGGAATGTTACAAATAACTTTATTTCAATAAATTTGTTAATTTAAGTAGAAGGGGGAAACTCCTATAAAGACAAAAATTACCAAACTGACTCAAGAATTATAAAAATCTGAATATTACTATTAAAACATAAAATTGAACTTAGTACCAATTAAGATGCCTTTACTTGTAAATTTTACTAAATATTTAAGAAAAATAATAGCAATTCTTCAAAAATTTTGAGAATATCAAGAATGAAATATTTCTGAACACTATGATGTCTGTATTACTATGACACCAAAGCCAGACAAAGACTCACAAAAGAAAACCAACAAAAAAGCAAACTACAGACCATCATCACTGAAAATAGGAAGAGTAAGGTACAATGAAGTGTGCTTACCTGTAATCCCCAGCCACTCCTATATGGGAGATTGAAGCAGCAGTATTGTAGGTTCAAGGCCACCGTGGGCAATTTAATGAGAACATTTCTCGAAAAATTTTTTTAAAATTTAGAAATTTCAAAAAGGGTTAAGGACGCAGCTTATTAGTATAGCACATGAGGTTATAGGTTCAATCTGTAATACCACTCTCCCCAAACAAACAAAAATAAAAAAGACAGAAAAGAACAAACAAATCACTGGCATACAAATCCTTTTCTCTTGTTGTGGTTTTGAAGCAGCCTCAACTGAGACAATAGTGATACTGCCAATTAAAATGCAAGAAACATGGGATCATGAAATGAGGAGAGAAAGTTCTTCTATAAGAAACTCCTGTAAAGGACATTAGTGAGGATAATGTGGGAAATTTGAACATTAATTATATATTGTTAAATGATACTGTTTCAGCATTTAATTTCTTGTCTAAGATAATAAATAATATTGTTTTAATTAGGGAAATATTCTTGTTCTTAATAGAAAACATGCTGATGTGTCTATGGGTGAAGCCCTTTATCTTTTTTCAAATAATGAGTGTTTTGGCTTGCACGTAGACTGTTCCCCACATCTCATGTGATCAAGGGTGGAGCATTTGGAAGGTGAATACATCAGAGGAGCATTATACTAATCAATGGACGATCCATTGATGAGTTTATAGCCAAATGTGCTCCTAGAAGGTGGAGCCTGTTGGGAAATGATGTATCACAGAGGGGTGCCTTTGGAGAGTTTGTCTCCCTCCACAGTTCCTCCCCTCTCCCTGGGTTTCTGCTTCCTGGCTTCCTTGGGTTGAAAAGCTTTTCATTCCATGTACTTCCACCGAGTAGTTTCTGCCTTGGAGACAACCAACAATGGACTGAATCCTCTGAAAACCATGAGCCAAAACAGATCTCTGCTCTGAATTGTATATGTTGGGTATTGTGTCCCAGTGATGGGAAAGTGACTAATACAACAATAAAACAAAATAAAATAAGCACGGAAACTTAGTAAATGGTGGGTGATCTTATGAAAATGTTTTACGTGTGTTCATCACTGCTCTTATCCTTCAGCATTTCTGTTAGTAAAATTTTTTAAAATAAAATTAATGAAAAAAATTTTAAAAAATAAAATTGATGAAAGAAATGAAAAAAACTGCAAAAAAGTGGCATTACATTCTAGGATGTCTAAAATTAAATTTTAAAAAACTGGTAATAGCAAACATCATTGATAATGCAGAGCAAATGGAATGCTCATACATGGCTGTTGAGATTACAAGATAATATAGCAACTTTGAGAAAGAATTGACAATTCATAAAGTTAAAATATACACTTATTCTATCATCCAAAATTCTCCTCTCTACCCGTTTCCAAAAATACATGAAAGCTTGTTCACGTAAAAACTTACATTGGAACATTTATAGTGGCTTTTTTCCAAATTTGGAAACAGTCCAAATGTCCCTTGATATATGAGCTGATCAAAAAATACAATGTGTCTTTAAATAAAATTTGATTACAGTAAAAGACACTTTGTTATTAATCCCCCTAAAAACACCCCCCACACACACACACACTTTGAACACACTTATCTCAAAGTTTTTGCCAATTTCTGAAGCAGTTCTGGAAGTCTTCTTTTGTAAGTGTCCTTATGAGATATGATCAAAAATACAATGAATTCTGCTAAGTGCCATCCCATAGAAAGACAGGCTTGTAAAAACATTACAGTGTCTCTTCATCCACCTTATTCACTTGACCTGGCACTATTCAACTTCTGACTCTTCTCCAAATTTGAAATAACTGCAAAAAGTAAATATTTCGAATAGAATTGGAATACTGAGGCAGCCACAGCAGCACAAATAAAGATAATTATGAAAGAGAACTTTTAGAACTGTTTCAGAAGGGTTACATATTGTATAATTTCATTTATATGGTATCCTGCAAAAGGCTAAATTCTAAAAACAGAGTAGCCCAGGAAGGAATAAGTTTGGCTGCAAAGGGGAATGGGGGAATATTCTGGAATGCTGGAAGTGTCCTGTACTTTGTGCTTATGTTTACACAACTATGCATGATCATAACTACATGCTGAATGGAGTAAATTTACTATATACTAACTATATCTTAATATTAAAATTAAATAAATTTGAAATGTTATTTGAAAAATTATTTTACTCCATCTAAAACCATCCAAAGACACTTCACCTGAAATAAAAAGCAAAGTCCATTACAGTTGCTTACGCGGTTTCCTTCTAGTTCTCTGATCTCATCTGTTACTTCTCTTCCTCTCTCTCGCACTTTCCCACTTTCATTGACCTCTTTATGTTCAGGAATCACTTCACCTTCACTTTCCCTCCATCATTCCACTTTTTCTCCACCACACTTCACATATCCTGCATATTAGGGTAAAGTTTTTTTATTTACCTGTCTTACTTTCAAGGGATAAGCTAGTTAATGGCAGGAATCAAAAGGTTAAGAAAAGTTAGTTAGGCCATATATTCTAATTGTTTGGTCTAGCACCAGGCACAAAAAGTTTTATAAATATTCATTGAATTGATGCTTGAAGGGATGAATTTGAGGAGTTCAAAATTGTTAATCACTGAAGAAATTTTAAATTGAATTTGTTATGCTATACGGTAATAAAGACAGATGCATATATTTTGAAAAGAAATTTTCATTGACTATCTTGAAATCACAAAATTGTTCTGGTTAAGGTAACCAAACACCATTTATAAAGTTTTCTAATAACTTTATTGGATGCAATCTTAGATTTATTTTTTTTCAAATCTATAGCGGAAGACACTGCATAGAATTTGGAATAGAGAAAATTGTAACAAAAAGGGTTAACAATATAAAAATAAGTTATAGAAATTGCTTTTTGTGGAAAACAAGACAATGAGAAAACTTTCAAATTGCTTTATACTCAGGACAACTTATTTTGAGTTATTATAGATTCTACTTTGACAGAAGTAGAATTCAATAAGAAAGTGCATGTTTCAAAAGGCAAGCATAAAACAAAAAAGAAATTCCTGTTCCACTGTTTCAATTGTGGCTCAGTGCATATAATAGTTTCCTCATTGGGTTTTGTTTTTTTTTTTTTTTTGTACCGGGGATCGAACTCGGATCCTTCCGCTTGCAAGGCAGGCGGCGGAACCACTGAACTAAATGGAGTCTAGGAAATGAATCTTTTGTGTGATCTGAGATTAAATTCTACTTATCTTTATTTACTGTAGGCAATTACATAGGAACTTTTCTACATAATGTTCTCCCATCAGTATTTCTTCAATTAGCAATAATCGCGCCTCGGATAAACCTCATTGGCTACGATACTGCCACTGCGCAAAGCTTAGTATTTCTTGATTTATAAGTTTATCTAAGTACCATGAGAGGCACTGTGAAATCACAATTGTTTGTCTACTCTGCAGTCCAAACCTGGGTGTCTTTAAATGTTCACTTGACTAGACCTATCACAAGTATTGCTAAGAAGACAATGATGCTTTGTTTCTTTCCTCCCTTGAATCCCTTACAAAACAGAAAATGGAAGAAAACAATCCCTTTGAAGAGTATCAGACTGGGGAAGGGAGATAGTCCAAGCACTGTCATTTAGTTAATATAGGCTTATCTGAAAGATAAATGGTCTGGTTCGGTTCTCTTTAATTTTTCTACTACTGAATTTTAGTTATTGTAACATCATATTAAATCTGAGCGAAGAAAGGCATTGAATTGGTTGGGCCAAATAGTATAGAAATCCACAAGCAGAAAACACATTATCTCAGAAAGAAAATTGGGTTTACCCATCATACAATGTTTTTCTGAAGATAGAGACATTCGATCACATCTTTGATAGCTTTTAAATATCACTGTGTCACCAGGTCACTGTCTCTGCCATCGCATTTAGATATGTGACCCATATGTCAGGAATCCAACACAATTGTTGCAACTTAAAACTCCCAAAGAGGCGGGGGTAGGGGGTAGTGAACATAATCCAAACGGAGAAGGTTAGGGTTTTATTGGGAGTTTATGAAGTATCAATTTAAAGATAGTATTTCAATATTCAAGTGTTGTAATCAGGATATATAAACATGTATTTTATTATTCTACTACCGTATTTTCATTCCACTTAAAGAAAATAAACTATATACATTTAATCAAATTCACTTTTTAAAAGGAAGAAAATTGGAATTCAGAGTGCTTCATGTAGGATTTACAAAGCTTCAAAGGCCAATGTTCAGAAGAAATCTGAGGTCAAATGAATTTTTAAAATTCTTGATTCTCCCCATAATCTCTCATGGGAAAACCTGTAGCTCTACATGCTAGTTCCAAAATGAATTTTTAAAAAAAGATACTTTCTTCCTACTCTACCATTTATTCATATTTCATAAATATTCAGATGTAACTGTACATGTGTGTGAATATTAAAAACATAGTTTTGTTTTAAGATATAATATTGTTTTATGAGTCACGCATATAAAACAGTACTACTAACTAGGAAAGCTTTTTTATAACATAGTGGTTTCCTGCCTTAGAGGAGAACATAATATAAAACAGTAAGGCCAGTTTTAAATTGTGCATAGAACCAGTAATTTTGTCTTTAAGGCAATTAAAAAATTTATTGAATCTTGGTTAAAAGTAGATTGACAATGACATTAAAGAATAAAGTATAATTTATTTGGTGCTACTTTGTGAATGCCGCTAAGTACAAATCATTTCACAATATCAAATACAGTATACTTTCAGTCACAACTTAAACATAAAATAACTTACAAAACCACATAGCTATAATCAATATACAATAACTACATTTTTAAAAGAAAGAATTCTAGCCAATTAATTAAGTTAAGGTGCAGTAACTTTTTCCAAATAAAATATTAGCACCATACTAGATAAAATGATCTAAAACTATTGGCGTTCTGGTTCTTCTTCAATAACTAAATATAAACACTTTTTTTCAGAACACAAATATTAATTTGCAAAATCAGTTCTCTAGTAGTTAATAAGCATTTCTTTCTTTGCTTGCTTTTATTTATTTTTTGCATGTTTTCCTTGTAAGGAAAAAATACTAAGTAGAAATGTTCACAGGATATGAAAATCAAACAAACAGATCTGATCAAACCGAGTACTGCCTTTCAGCAATGAGTTCCAACCGAAGCAAAAGTGGACATCTCCCGGCGTATGGTGCTGAACGGTGAGAGCTCCAGCTCCGTGGTGTATTCATTGTCATTGTCATCACTGGTCACTGTGGAAGACTTCTGGATGCATTCCTCACAGCAACAGCAGCAGCACTCCATAAAGGCCCGGCTGAAGGGTTTGCAGAGACAGAAAAGTAGCACGGGGGTAACACAGGACTTAAAGAACAAAAGGAACTGGCTGATGATATTCAGGAGATCCATTGTCTGTTGTGAAACCCCGGTAGCCATATAGGCAGTGACAATGTTGCAAATATTTTCAGGAATGATGCAAAATCCATATAAAATGGTCAGGGCCACTACTGTGCAGTTCATCTGGCTTTCTAGTTGGATCTGTCGCTTGTTCCCTCTGGTGCTGGCTTTCTCTGCTTTGCGGATTTTCCTTGCAGTCACTAAAGAGCATGTGATGGTGAAAAGCGTGGGTAAACAAAAATAACAGCCAAAATACCACCAGAGCCTTGCACTGTCGTAGGTGAGGGCTAAAACATATATGGTGTCTGGTAAATTGGGAGAGATCTTTATAATACATCGTTCTGCAGGAGCTCTGCCACTAAACCCAAAATCCTCCTTGCTTAGCTGGCGGAGAACAACTTCTGGAAGTGCCAACAGTAAAGCGCCAACCCATATGACAGCAAGTTTGGCCGTTGTCGAAGAGCAGTTTTCGATCATTTCATAGTACATCTGTACGTTGGTGGCGGCACGAAAGCGGTCTATACACAGAGCACATAAGGTGAATGTAGTGACTCCCAGAGAGGCAACCTGTCGGGGACAGAGAACACATTCATCTGGGTGCTCTCTTTAAGATTAAAGAAGTAGATTATAAATACAGCAGAGAGAGAGAGAGAGAGAGAGAGAGAGAGAGAGAGAGAGAGAGGGAGGGAGAGAAAAGAGAGGGAGGCACAGACAGAGAGACAGAAAAACAGAGAGACAGAGACAGAGAGACCGAGAGAGATATTTCCAGGAATGAGGCATGGATAATGAATAGCTGGGTTGGTGACTTCAACTGAATCATTGTGAGCATAAAAATAGAAGAACGAAAAAAGTTGTAGTAGTTCAGGGATGATGTGTTGAAAAAAACAAGAATTTAGGGCTGGAAGCATCTATAAAGGTCACCTAGTCTATACTACTTTATTACGGATAAGAACTCAGAGACCCTAAGAATTTCAGTCACCATGAAAATGCCTGCCACCAGGAGATCTAGATAAGAGGTAAGAGTATGGGAGTATGTCCCATTTGCATTACTGAAAAGGATGTTTTCCAGCATGGGAATCAATAGTGTTCCTCACCTCACATTCAGGAAACACATAGGACTTTATTATCCTCAACAAGCTAGATGATTAGAGATGTTTCCCAATTTCTTTCAAATACAAAATAAAGGACAGTATTTTAATAGTATTTTCAAAGGCATACATTCATGAGGGAGAAAAAGAGCATTTCACTAGAGGCCAAAATCAATACAAAATTTCAAGCAGATCAGAAGTCCCCCACCTTTCCCTCATCTCCCTGTTATTGCACGTTATCTTTGGGGCATCTGCCTGCCCTATTGCGGATTTCAAGTTAGTTTTAGGTAGAAGGGGAGATCAGGTGTCCATGTCCCCAGAGACAAGAGACAAAGCTGGGTCAATGTTGGAACTAGGGGAAAGACCCAGTTTGGATTTGGAATTCCCCCAATACTGACATCTTTAGGAATGTAAAGGACATTTTTAAAAAGAGAGACAAGGGAGAAACTTGTAACTATAGGATCTGCCTGATAGAAGTCAGGGGTGAATGGTGGGGGAGGATTGGTGAATTCTGACCAAGGGCCTGAATTTACATGGCGTTAAGGCCAAAATTCACACCATCTACGTTGCTCAGAAAAATTCCAAATGGAACTTGAAATCATTCCAGGTATCTGGTAAACACAAGCATGTATCCTGTTTGAAAGAATGTACTTTATACCAGGCCTCAAATCCCATAAAGTTCAAGGGAACATGAATTCACAAAAACAGAAATCACTATATGCAAGAGACAATCAGCCACTATGGGCTATGTGCCAAAAGAAACAAATTACAGATGTTTACTTATTTGACAAGTTTACCAAATATAAAGAAATAAGAGATACTGGGGTCCGGGGATGTAGCTCAGTGGCACTGCCCCTGCCTGGCAAGCACAAGGTTGTGAGTTCGATCCCTGGTACCAAAAAAAAAAAGAGAGAGAGATACTGAAGAAAGACTTTTTAAGGTACACATAGGAAGAACCATGAAAATAGAAAGATACCAGATAGAATGACTAGATGATTATAACCACAGGATAATTTTGAATCCGAAAACACTGTGACACTGACCACATAAAGCACTGTGTCCACAAAGCATTGTTCTTAGATGCATATGCTCCAGACATTTAAATGAATCAGTAATTGTAGGTTAAGAGCCAAATATACATTCCTGTTTCTTTCACACAGAGATTTTCTTAGGAATATACATGCACTCTTCTAATGTAAATAAACTATCATTTACCTATAAATACTGAGCATGATGGATACATTCTAATGGGACACACAGATCCATACATAACACAAGCATTCATCTGCCAAATACCAATGCCCAGCACTGTACTTGATATTGGGGATATGGCAGGTACGAGGAGCAATCCCTTTCCTCCAGGAGATCATAGTCAACCAAAAGGAGGAAGACTGTTCTTGAAGTCACAAGATAAACAGAGAAGTCACCTGGGAGCATCAGATTGACTCAAATATTTTGAGGGAAATTTAAGTAATATTAGTGTTCAATAGCTGTAGTCATTATTTATGTATTTAAATAAGGACAATGTGTAGAAGGTAAAAATGTTAAAGAGCTTTCAGATAAAACATGATCCTAAAAGAAAAATCCTCAGGTGGAAGTAATGCTTTGAGGTCTGCCTGAGAAGCCAGAGTATGTGCATTCACTCTCCCCCTGCTTACTGGTGGCAGTATCTAAGAAATATAGGCATATCGGTTGTGGTAAACCTATGGCATTTGTGCCACAACCCTCTATGAGTTATTACTGAAAGTTCTAAAAGATTCACTGTTGCTGGTAGGTCAAGCTTGGCAAAAAGGCTGGGAAAAAGTGAGTATGCTAGTATCTAATTTTTTAGGACTCCATGGGATCATGTTAATAAAGGAGTACCATTTGCCATCCAATTTTAGTACTGAAAACATTTGTTGTTTATCTACTGCATTCAAGCTGTCACTGTCCTCAGAGCTATGGCATCTTGCTTTGTGGATTCTAAGAGTTGCAATGTCAAATATTTGCTCCTCTTCTTTCACATTACACATCACACTATATCTACTGGTTCCAATACAAAAAACATGGACATTACATCTATGCCATGGATAGTTTCATAACCATTAAGGTAGACAGTTTCAAAATGAGATATAAAAACAAAAAAGCATAAATGAAGTAAAATATGATTAAAGTTCTGGATCAATACAAATAAAGAGCTTACTGTTGGGCTTACAACCATAATTCTTTTTCTTCAAGAACTAATTTTTCAGAAAATCTTCCATAAACACCAGTATGAGAAAGAAAAAAGCATTTCTACATTCACCTTTTGAAAATTAACATTTCAAATTAATGAGCTGTTCATCTTGATGGAAATCTGTTTTGTACCTATACTGAAGTCTCAAAACAATTCTAAAGTTCAGGTCCACATTGTGTGATTGTCTTCTGATCATATATTTCTAACATCAATAATTGCCACATTGGAGAAATCTGAAAAGGGCCTGCCATTCATTACCCAAAGGTCTACATCAGACACTGTCATGTGGAAATTGCAGTAGTTTATTTTATACTTTTTTTTTTTTCAGTACAAAGAATCAAACCCAGAAGTGCTCTGCCACTGAGCTATATCCCCAAGCCTTTTGATTTTTTATTGGGAGACAGATCTTTCTAAGTTGTCCAGGCAGGATATGTTTGTCAAACTTTACATTCATATTTAAGTTTTTCAAATGTTTTGATTAATTTCTCTTAAGAATGTAAGACAAAAAAAATTCTCCAACTAGTAAATGTATGCAAATCTTCAGCAAGGCTTTCCAGACTTTTTGTTAAGGCAAATCTATGTGCACTGTGTCACTGTGTCATATCCTGAGTCACCTCACAAATATGAAGTTACTAAGGATTTAGGTTATGCATTCTTCTTATATTACGAATAACATTTCTATTAAAAGGAAAGCTCATAACAAAAATACTGGAGACTCAGAGAACAGGCAGTCTGTTAGAAGTGCACCAGATATATTTGTTGGTAATTTTTTATCATCATTTACAAAGAAGACACAATATACAAAGGATTGAATCTTCTCTACTAATCTCTTTAATTATAATTACAGGGATTTTCAAAAATCTGGACCAATTATAATTAGTGGCTGCATTTGCATCCCTATGTCAAGTCATTTATAGTATTTCATGAGAGCAAATGTATGTGGGTGGTCATGTACTAAGATGGATGTGTTAGATTGCTGACTCCTTCACTATCAGAAGCTGTCCTGCATATCCATGCTTAATTAGAAGATGGTCCCTACTTTGAAAAGGAAAACATTTCCAGGTTCCTTATATTCCATCTATCTCTCCAGAAAACAAAAATCAGGGCAAATTTTAAGCAAGATATATATGTTACAACTTTTTACTCAGTAATTTTTATACTATAATTTATTTGAAAATGCTCAGTTCTTCAGACATAGTCCCAAAAGTTTTAGTATCAAGTTAGAAACTCAAACATATTTGATCTGCAGTTTTCTTGAGAAACCATGGAAGAGGGCAGGGAGAAATCACCTTCCCAGTTTGCATATACAAAATTCAGTAAGCTTTTTTACCCCCCTCTTGTTTTCCACTTGTTGCTCTGTGATAGCATTCTCTATAGTTAAGATCTAGCTAACAAAGGATGAGCAATTCAGAAAGGTCACCAGAATGGCGGATGATTGCTAAAAGAGCCAGTAAGGAAAGCAGAGCTAACCCAAATGCAGATAGCTCTTGCCACCCAGATGCCAATCCTAATCATCAGTTCTGCCCTGCTGCCACTGCCTGAAGTGTTACTTTAGATATTTTCTGTAAATGCACTTATGCACTAAATTTTATACTGTGAAAGAACAAAAAAGGGTGCAAAGGCCTTATCAGTATTTTCCCAAATTATTTTAGAAGGCTTTAATCTGTGTAATCTTTTAAATACAAATCTCAAAATTAATTGGTAGAACCCATCTGGATAAGGAATGCTGGCCTAGTTTCTGCTTACCTAAATATGAAATCTGCCCATGTAATTAAAATCTTAAATGTTGGAATAACATGAAAAGATTTCCATCACAATTTTTAAATATACTTATTTGTGTAAAGCTTATTAAAATTCTGCCAAGATGAATAGTGCAATTATATGCAATTATAAAACTGTATCATGAATGCTAGATATTTTGCATTTAATGACCATATCTGATTGCTAAAATTCAGTATCACTGTGAAATATGCTCCTGGGAGGAAAGCTGTTAAGCTTTGGCCTACATGGGTAGTTCTTTGAAGCAACATCCTGAGATAGAATGAGTAAGATGCAATCGCATATGAATTAAACTGTAATGGGAGGAATAATTAACATCAATAAAAGCAGAACTGTAAATACTTTTAATAGAATGACTATTAATTTTGAGAAGTTCAAGATGAGAGCAAAGCTAGAAGCAGATAATGTTAACTATTAGAGAAAAATATTGAGCATTTTGAGATTGGCATCAAAATCCAGAAATGGCAAGGGAATCAAAATAAACA